CTGTAGAAAAAAAAAAAAAAAAAAAAAGAAAACAGCAAGGAACACTGATTTAGTGTGAAAGAAAATGTTGGAAGTGGGCAAATTCGAGACTTCACTAACACGCCGGCCTTCCTCAACAGCCTCCTCCGCAGAAGGCTCCACACACGTTGCACCCGCTGGGCCTTCAATTGGTAGCCGGGCTACCAGGTGGGCCTTTCCTCCACCACTGCCCACTGCGAGCTGACCACATCCGGGCCAGCTCCAGCGCACCTTGCTTCAGTCTTTTCCAGTCACCCACCTTTCCATCTCAAGCTCTCCCTGAACCCCCACAGCGCTCGGAGGAATGGGTATTCATACGTTGAAGTCCACTATGGCTAGAGCAACACCTTCCATGCAAAAGACACACACCAAATTTGATGTGACTGAAAAAGATTATCTAGTGATGCTTACGTATATTTCAGAAAAGCAAACAGAAAGCAAGCAATATTAAGAATTTTCCCCAAATTCATATAACATGAAAACCTGAATTGCAATGTATGCACACCGGCCAAGCACCACCCAAACCCCACTTCTGCCCTGCTGCTGTGAGTTGCTGGGGGAGCTGCTTAACCTGATCTCTGCCTCCTCGCTGGAAAGCGGGAATCACCAAAGGAAATGTGCAGCTACTCTCTGTACAAGGCAGGACAATGCTTGCTTGCTTTTTTTTTTTTTTTTTCCAGTATCGGGGATTGAACTCAGGACCTTAAGCTTGCCAGGTGAGCACGTATTCTACTGAGCTATCACCCCAGCCCAGGACAATGCTTTCTAATGGCAGATATTTTCAGCTGTATTAATTTTCTGCACACAACCCACAGAGCAGAGGTGACCAAAGATATTCAAGACCAGTGGCTGCATGCTCCCCTAAATTTAAGAGCAAACTCTTCCATATTGCTTTTATCTCAAAACCTAGTTTAAAAAAAAAATCAACCTACTGGGGGCCTGCCCCTTAGCTCAGTCCTTTAAGTGGCTGCTTCAACAAAGCAGTCAGGCTCAGGTTGCTGTGGTTCGATACCCACAACTCAAGCCAGCCAAACCTGCACTGAAGGCATTCGGAGGAAAAAAAAAATCAACCTACTTATAACAATGTGAAGTTCTCCAACGACAAGTGAATAGAGTGTTACTGTGAAAGTAGTTGTTCAAATAAGCAAAGTGTAAGGACAGCAATAAGTGACCATGAACTGTAAAAGTATAATGACATTCCACAGCCAGAAAAAAATCCCCTGGCCTCAGCAGGTGCAACAGACTTATGTGCTCATTGCACAAAGATCACTTTTTCAATTATACAAATGCCTGCTTAAGTTTCAATCAGGAAAACAATACTCCTACCCTAGCAACTATTTTACTTTTCTGGGGAAAAAAATTACTATAGTTTTACAAAACCTGGCACATTCCACTTAAATCACACAACACAAAGAGGAGCCATTACATACAGAAGGGAAAGGGGGAAGAAATCAGTATTGTTAGAAGAAGTAAAAGCTCATGAACTTAAAGCAAACGAACTCACAGGCTCTGCTGTGCTGACCATCACAGTGTATAGGGAACAAAAACCCAGAGTGTATGATATGTCAGTCTTCTGGGTATTTTTTATTCCAGGGGCTCTAAGAATAAGTTCCTAAAGCTTCATCACAGTATTTTCTCTGTGTAGAATGAACAATTTTGCAGTCTTTTGCTAAAGACGAGTTTATGAGTTCTACAAATACAAAAGCACAGCTATCACTTTGGAGTCCAGCTAATACAAATTCTAAATTCCTCCGGCACATTAATGTTAATAGTTGGCATGCGTTAAATGCTTATCATACCTTTGAACTTTTCCACATCCGATCAGTTATCACAACAGACTTGTATCTTATGTATTAGCGATACTCACATTTTAGAGAAAGAAACAAGAAATACAGGTTAAATAATTTCTCTAAGGTCACACAGCAAGATGAATTAGCGCCAGAATTAAACGACATATTCTGGCTCCAGATTCACACTGCCCAAGAGGAGTATGCTGTGATTCACACACATAATCCTAACTCTACTGAGAGCCCCATCAAAATATGAAAAGCAGCAGACAGAATTACTTTAAAATTATAACTTACTTAACGCCATACATCTAAATATTGTCATATAATAAAATACAGTGGTACCTTTGTTCACGAACCTACTTCTTTATAAGATTCTGGATGAAAACAGTGTAAATTAAATGGTTAAGTTCAATGTTGACCTTATGGGGAAATCTGATTCAGTTTTCACTCAATTCAACAAGATTCTAATTATGATGAATCTTTTTTTTAGTACTAAGTCTTCAAAAATCTGGTGCTTATTTTATACCCACAGGTATGATCAAATATATGAATATTTAAAGTAAAAATATTACAAAACATGTTATTAATTTCCCTCAAAACACTCCCTATTGCTTTATTTTCAAAAACTATTTCAAATCTTGTGTTTATTTATTTGGTATAGGGTCTCGCTATGCAGCTCAGACTCACAGTGATCTGGCTGTCTCAGCCTCCCCAGCACTGGGATCACAGTTATGTACCGCCCAGTTTCGGTGGCCAGCGTAAGTGGTACTGGAGATCAAAACCACTGGTCCTTGTGCTTGCTAGGCAGGCAAATTATACTACTATCTCCCCAGCCCGCCCTGTTGCTTTAAACACGCTTATCCCATCAATCTTGTCACTTTCTGAAGCAGTTCTAGAAAGATTCTTTTCTGAGTGTCTTTATTTGTGCTACTCCTATGCCTACCTTCACGGTCTGAATGAATTCAAAACAGGTACCTTTCATGGTCATTTTGACTTTGGGGGAACAAGGTGTACACAGGGCCAGATCTGGGGAACAGGGTGGAGGAGGGCACACTGAAATGTCTTTACAAGCCTCTGCCTTTCCTTGGATGTAGTTGGTGGCAGTGTTCACTATGTTTTTATCATTCCTTATAAAAACCTTCTTTAAGGAGGACTCTCAGAACCACTTCAGACAATAGCAAGAACCATTAAGTGTGTTTGAAGTCAGGAAGAATATTTTGTAGAGACTGATAGCAATGTGTCTTTTACTATAATAAATTCTTTAAAGTTAAATATTTACCACAAGCAGTATTTTGATAGCACTCTGCATTTCAATTCAGATTCACCTAATTTCCTGTGCTCAGGAGCCAGTGGTGGCTCCTAGCACCAGGGACGGTCACTACAATTCTAGAGCCTGCTCTTTTTGCTGACAGGCTGCCAGAAGCAAGTGTGAAGGTCTCTGTCATCACTGTTTGCCAATTTTTTGTTTCAGACATAAAGTAGTGATACTCTAGCAGACTCCATCTGAACACCAAGTCAGGACCTCTGCTGGGGCAGAGGGTGGCTGTTTCCTGGCCAAGGGAACAGATGGGGGAGGTTTCCCAGTAGCACCTTCATAGAGAAGATGGGGCCTTCTAAGCTTGGGGTTCCTCAGCCCTGAGCCAAGCCCACTGTGTGAAGCATCCAGCCGGGGCCCTCAGCCATACTTCCACGGGGCTCAGAGTTCCAAGAACACATGAGAGCTCACGCCACTGGCTGTACCAGGAATACTAAAGTCTTATCTCTCACCCAGGAAGCTTGTGTTTTCTGCCAACCTCCAAGAAGCTGGAGGGCTAACTTTCTAGTGTGAAAGTAGGGTGACATCTCAGGCCCATCAAAGCTCATGTCACTGAGTGTCGCTGGATTGTGAACAAGGTATCTCCCAGAGAAGCGAAGTTATACTTCCTGTAGTTATGACCAAGATCTAGTCACCTCACTGTCTAGGATTAAAGTTTCTGACAAGCAGCATAAACAATAAAAGCTTATCTACTGTCCCAGCCATTACCAGTGATGCGCTTTGCAACTGCGGTCTTGGCAAGTCCCCCAAATCCCTTCCTCACAGAAAACGCCTCACCACATTAACTCCGCTGCACTGACAAAGCAGTTAGCATACCATACCTTTCCACAACACTTGGCTTTGTCTATAATCTTCAGTGCAAACTCCTTTCCAGTAGACCTAGGAATAATCAGAGGAAGACCACTAAAGACATCACTAGAGATGCTGCCCTTCCTAACTTTCTCCACCCCACAGACAGGGAAGGGAAGTTTGGCTTCTGTTTAGCATCAAAGACAGTGTCAAGAGGAGCAAGGAGAGGAAGACATCCGAAAACCAGAGCAATCCCGAAAAGCTACACCGCATGTTAACTAAATCTTCTTCCATAAGTACTAGTAATTAAGTTATCATTAACGTACATTTACGCTGTTGTTTAGACCTAGATAAAGTTTGTCTCTACTTAAATTTTAAGTTCTCTTACAATACAGGACAAAATTAAGAAGAACAGATCAACCGAAGTGAAAAACATTTTATTATCAATGTATCTCTAACACATCTGTCACATCATGCTACAATTCTAACCCACGGTCCCCAGACTTTCATTAGCTACCCTGCAGCTAGTAAAGGTCAGCTGGGGTCTGCTGACCTGCTGTACCCACCTTTAGATGGCCACATCTGGCATGAGAGAGAATTTAGATACGGGAATCTTGATATTATTACTTAATTTTTAAATCACTTTCAAACATGGTCCGAATGTGCCATAAAAGATTAAAGGTGAAAAGTTCAATCAAGATCACTGTAGTATTCTTGGAATATGTTATTCTAGAGGATGGCTGCTTTTGCCAGGTAGGGAGCATGTACGATGATGGGGCCAAGAATGACAGAAAACTTTTACAGAAATTGTTCGTGTGTGGTAACCCAAACCCTGCCTTCTATTTCTAACAATTCTTGGAAGTCATATTTTAGAAACTCAGCGCACTAAGTGGCTATCAATATCAAACCTAGGTAAGGTTTAGAGAATAATAAGCTAGCGGCAAATGTACCAAAAGGAGCAGAGATGAATAAAAATGGGGGGAAACCTGTGGTTTCTAGAACTTTCTGGAAAACTCTTCCCAAGCAGTAAAAATGAGTCATGTAAAACCAGGTAAGACAGTGGTGTATAAACACAAAGACTTTAAATCTGACTCTTTTTGGGCTTCTATACTGTATTTACAAAACGCCTGCATCAGGCAAAAGTTAGTTGATTCTGACCTTAAATAGTCACCAGATCTACAGGCTAAGTGTTAATGGAGAGGATGACTGTGGCAATCTAACCAGTTAATATCGGTACAGACTGAGAAGGCTGCCTGGCACAGGAGTTATAGATTATTTTTAAATGAAATAACTTTTAACTCTTCTCCATTCTTCACTACCTCCAGGATGAGACCTGCAGTCCAAATGCACAGCCAACAGTGTTCTAGTCTATGTGTGCACGTGGATTTTTTTCCCAGTCATACTGACTGTGGGCAGTCCTGAAAGGGGAAAGTAGACTCCCCATTCAGTAAAGAATACGCTCCACAGGAAAAACTAGAGGCGCGTGAACACACACCCCTCGCCGCCCGCTCACCGGTCCATGCACTCCTTGACGACTGCGAAGTTGCCATCGCCGATGACCTTTCCAACCTTGTATTTCTCAAGGAGAGCCGAGGCTTCGGAGCACCTGTTTCCATTCAAACCTGCAAAAAGGGGTAAATGCAAAGTCTAAAGGAAATAGCAGTGGTTTATATTGGTTCCTGTATATTTGTAAAATAACAAAAATACAATGCGTTTAAGTCTATAGTAGAACTAAAGAAAAAATTTCAATATATTCCTCAAATAAAATGCTTGAGGGCCAGGACGTACCTCACTGGTGGAGCACCTGCCTGACAAAAGCGAGGCCCTGGGTTCAATTCCTAGTACCAATTACAAAAATATTAAAAATAAATAAAAACCCTTTAAGAATGTTTGTGTCGTCAATTTCCTTTCGATCTTGTTAGCTAGAATCAGAAACCAACAAAATCAACAATCCTAAGAAATTCCTAAAACATCAGCTAGTATAAATGATTACCCTTAGGTTAAAAAAAAAAATCAAACTCTATTTTGTCAGTGCTCAAGGAAGGAAAAAGTGTTGGTAAGATTTAACCTTAGAAACGTTCTTAGGATTTCCCAGAGATTTTCTAATAAAGAAAATTATATTGGGGGCTGGCCAGATAGCTCAGTGGATTAAAGCACCTGCTTAAGCAGATGCAATGGCCAGGGTTCAATCTCCAGCCTGCCCACGGGGCACCCTGAGAGGGTGATTGAGACTGGGCATGGTGGCACATGCCTGTAATCCCAGGGCTTGGGAGTCTGAAAACAGGAGGATCACTATGAGTCCAATCTGTGTAGTGAGACCCTATAGACCCTGTACTAAATACATTAAAAAAAAAGAAAAGAAAAGAAAAGAAAATTATGTTGGATTTTTTATTTTATTTCTTTGCAAATTCTTTTTTTTCTAGGAATTGTACCCAGGAACTCAAACACACTGGCAAGTGCTCTCCCAACTCTAGAGGTGGGCATGGTGAGGCAAACCTTTAATCCCAGCTACTCAGAAGGCTGTGACAAGAGGATCTCAAGTTTCAGACCAGCCAGGACAACTTAGAGAAACTGTGTCTCAAAAAAACAATTAAATAAATAAAGTGCCGAGGGATGCAGTTCAGTAGCAGAACAGCCCTGCGTTTGATCCTCAATGTCAGACTTGCGGTGTTTGTTGAGGAAAGATGCCTTCTCAACGTTAACGTCTCACTCAGAGCCTTCTCAGAAAGGTGTATGGGGTGTGGGTTAAGATGAATGTAGTCAGAGAACTGCAAACACGTGCTAATAAAAATGAAAATGTGTAAAAAGATCAAATCACTTGTCACATGCCTAACACACAGAACTCTTTGTGATTTGAAAAAAAGGAAATACATTTAGGGACTGCAAGCAGAATTGTCACTGAGGAAAGATAAAGGAGCCCCGGGCTAAAATTTGAAAATGTGACAGCCTAGAGATTAATGACAATGAGATTTTACATGAGGGGAGGCAACCCTCCCCACCTAAGGCTGAGCTAATAAGTGACATGATCCTATCCCTGCTTGAGAAGATGCGACAGATGATAGTCATTATGAAATACTGAGCACTACCTTCCGGGCTCATGCAACGGTCAAGGTCAGGCCCACCATTCACATTGGAAGACGACCCGCCATGAGCAGAAATCTGCTGAGAGAGAGAAGTGACCGTTATTCATTAGGATACATTCACAACCCTCTAGCTCCCTAACCCTTAAATGGAAAATGTTTATAAAATGCAAAACACAATGAAGCAGAAACAGAGAAAATACTCCCCTCCCACCTCACCTCTTTCTCTACACATAATACATCACATCAGTGTATCTGTTCCTGCTGTCAATTTTAAATTCTGATTCAAACCAGATATTGTGCTGCTTCTGACTTCAATGAAATAAAGCAAAGGAGGCTTTGCGGCATCACAGTGGCAAGTAAGGCTCAGCACAACACACAATTCTAACAGTCCCTGGCTAACCACCTGCTTCCTAGGCGTGTACTCATTTTACTGCCTACCAACGGAAGATAACTGGGCAGCCAAACATTGTCAGTATTTAATTTTTTCGCCCCTTTTTAGGGCACTGAAATCTGACAACTCCAAAATCAGTAATACTCTTAAACTGTTAAAAGGCTAGAATGTTTAAAACTGAGGCCTAGAAAGGGAACTCATGGAACACCTTTAAAAACAAAGACAACCAAAAGCTTCTGCTCCACCACCTACCCACAGCTCAGATCCTCCTGTCGCTTCCCTTGTTGTTCACTGAAGTTCTCTTAGATCCCACTAGCCCCTCTCACTCCACACACTATTCAGTGAAACTTTTCCTCCGAGTCATTACGACTGCACCCCCAGGATCTGAAAACCCCAGTGAGTCCTTGTTTCCAGTAGCATAACCCCAAAATCTGCCATGGGGTCCAGACCAATGTCTGCCGCTCACCTACCTGTGGAGGGGGTTGCCTACCACTTTTGTTCCTCTCTCATACATCCCATCTTCACATAACTCAAATACTTTTAAAGTTACTTAAGCTTTTCAAGTGTTAAAAGTAGAAAAAG